CTCATTAAAAAAAATATCTAAAACTCCCCACGGACAGCTATAGGCCGTATTAATTAGTTTCTTAATAGACGACTCGGTAATTAACAGACATTAACTTAAATGTATTCAAATATCCATTTAATTAATTCAGTTATTTTATCAAAACGATTATCGATAAAAACAGATCGTTATCAAGATGAAACTCACAACCGAATAATTGGTGTATCAGGGAATCAAATCCCTAAATAGTGGTGTGATTTGTACGGCCATCGCGGAGTGGTAAAATGACGATAAATCTTATGTTTTACAGCTGGTGTTGTGAGATAAAGATCGCTCGCCACGTGGGGTAATACTCGAGGTTAGTGATGGGACTGTATCGATACTCGTTATTAACGTAAAGTTATCTCGAGTGGCGCCAACAACTCCTTAACAGAATGTTAATAGGGAAATTATCGGATTATCGTGGATCTTTATAATGGGACGGCTCTAGTATAATATTGTTTGTTGGATTTTGCAAAAAGAAGTGCAAAAGTTGGCGGGAATTTAATGATTGGTAGTTTTTGTGCTTTTTTTCATTACCAATAATATTGTTTACAACAATGATAAGTCGGTTTTGATTGTGTTTATTTTTCGAAGTCATACTTTATAATGAATACTGTTTATTTTAAAGCATAAATGATAAATGTATTGTACACAAGGCAATATAAATACTTGGTCTGTAGTACAAAATACCTATAGTTTTACAAACTATTGAAATATGTGCTTTTGAAACAATAATAATTTGCAAATGTATGAGTGAGGAAACGAGTTACATAAAATTAACACACACAATTGAAAACATATCTTTATATATATAATTCTTCTGTGAGTGTGTATGTCACTGAACTTCTCTCAAACGACTGGACCGATTTTGATGAAATTTTTTGTGTGTGTTCAAGGGGATCTGGGAATGGTTTAGATTCACAATTTTGAATGGTAAGGATGACCCATCCCTAATTATTTTTTTGTTGCAATACAACGTTTGCCGGATCAGCTAGTCATAGTATACTTACTAAAATAACACACCTGACCAAACCTATTATTTATCCAATCTAATTATTAAAACAATAATTAAAGCCATAAAAACATGCTAATTATTAAAAAGACAATAAACCCGACTGCTTCAAAATGTGTATTTGAAATTTATAAACCGGCGATTTTAATTTTATAATTTTCTAATACCCGGTGTCACTCTCACAAGGAAGACGAATCTAACGACATCTCCCAAGCCAAAATCCATCAAGTCGTTTAGGCTAAAGAGCGTGCCAAAAAATATACAACCATACACTTGGAAATTATAATTCTCCTGGTGGAGTCGTATCTGTGTAGTGACGGAGTAAGAATAAGGAGTGACACCTCCCCTATTCATCCCGTGGGTGTCGTAAGAGCCGACTAAGTACTGCAAATATAAGGAAAACTTACCAATAACCAACCAATACCAATGTATAGTAGGCCAAAACCTTCTTCCAAAGGAGATACATATGTAAAGCAGTGGACTATTAAAAGCTAGTGATATGATGATGTGTTGATGTGGTGCAGTCGGATAAAAAATAAATGACCCAATTTTTCTATCTAGCAAAACTATTGCTAGTAAATAAAACACGACGGTAATACATAAAATAGTAAACTATTCAGGCGAATAAAACCGTTTGGACAGTATCCAAGTTTTGACCATACAGAAACGAGTCTTTTCTTCAATAGCTTTAATTTTATTTTACTTTGGAGATAGCCTTGGATTGTCTCGACTGTTTATTTTGGTGTGACCAGGTTACGTTTTAAATTATATTCTTATTTCCTGCGTAATGTTGTTTAATTTTACAATTGGCAAATTCGAGTGTGTTAAGGACAGTTAACATTGCGTATTCGGTATATTAATATTTGAGTATTATGGAAATATGTAATTGGAGACAATAGATTGGACTGTTATTAGTGTAATCAAGTAATTTGATTGCTGACAAAATGAACTTAAAGCTAAATGAAACGAGCTAAATGAGGTTAATGTCGTGGCTATTACGTTTTACGACCACAACGCGTTTTGGCAAAGAACAAAAGCCACCTGACAATCATTATCGTACTATCGAACAGTCTCGAAACTTTTTGATAAATATAATCATATTTATATATGTTTGCAATAAGCGGAAATTGAATCTCCGATTCCCGGCCCACTGTTGCGTTAAGACATTCGTCAAAACAATATCTGTAAAGAAAAAGCAAATTCGATCTTGGAATGCTGCACGGTTATCTTGCTAGTCCGGCAAAAACCTTGCGGGATCTTGTATTCGTTATTTCGCAACCGGATGATAATAATTAATGATCCGGGATCTTGGAATACCTAGATTTCAGTATTGCGGTGTTGGAAGCCCTTCTAACTAGGTAATGTCGATGTGCAACCCTTGAACTAAGGGTTTGTGAAATGAAAACTCTTCACAAGTATCCTCCTTAGCTTGCTGTTAACTACATACATTGGGCTGTTATTGATTTTTTAACGATTAATACAGTTAGTCAGAAAACTGTTGCGCATTTATTTTGAAAATTTACCGATCACATCACAATTTACACTATTTATATTAACAATCGCTGCTTAAAGTTTATTAAATAAATAACTATCTTTGTCATCTTAATGGTAATGCATGTTCAAATCGCATTTTTTATGGTATGGTTAATGATTAGCGCTACACATAGACACAGGTAACGTAAGAGATACAAGTGCGTTGTCTTCCTCGATCAAAGGCAACTAAACAAGTGCTTAACACCGGTTTCCCGTAAGGCCGTGTAAAAACTCCGGTTCCGGTCTCCTACGGTAAACTTTAATCTAGATCTAGAACATGTGGAACACGTTCATTTAATCGATTGATCGAATGAGTGAAAATGAGATTTATTTTTGCTTTAATATGGCTTTTAGTCAGAAGCAAGTTAAATGCAGTATTGTATATGAAAAATATATTTAGGCGACCATTATTGTGTGCTGAGTATGACTCTGTCGCGGTAGGACGTTGTCAAACAGGCCCCCGGAAAACACACGTAAATAAAGCTTTTAATTAATAGGCGACCAGTTTTAAACGACATAGCGCTGCCAAACGCAAGGAGACAAACATAAAACAAATCTGGAAGTGAGGCCTTGAGTGTGTCATAAGTCCTCAGATAGTGTGTCATAAGTCCTCAGATAGTGTGTCATAAGTCCTCAGATATTGCTTTGCACTTGTGTACCTTTGTAATTTAGAAACAATGCTCAATGGCAAGATAAATAACATACTATAATTTGTGACCCATTCGAACTCTTTAACAAAAAGAAAAACAAAAACTATCGACAATAAATGTACATCACTGTTAACCCGTCAACTCCATATATCAACAGGGCCTCCCCAGCGATCGTGTCGATGATAAAAATTACTTAAACACCAAACATTTAACATCGTGCCCCTAAGCGACCCGCATCTATCTCTCTCACGCTCTTTCTAAATCGTAAAAAAGAATGAGATAGCAATACATGTAAGGTTTGTCTTTAAAAGTATTTTGGGCTTTATACCAAGAAATTTGGGATTGTTTTATAGTATTTGTAAAGTAAATCTTGCGTTGTCTCGTCACTGGATCTTAGTGATTCTTCAAACTACGTGAGGGTATTTTTGGTTTAGGTAATAAAAATATGGAAAATTAATGATAGTGTTCCAAGAGATTCTGTCTCTGAATCCGAGTAGAAATAAACGTTATATCTCCGAGAAGGGGGGTTCCTATAAACATTGGGTTATTTATTAAGCTTACTGGACAACGGAAGTAATAACTAAAACACATTTCGTTGAGATTAAGATGTCTTGAAAATCCATATACTAATTAAGGCATAAAATTTCATTGAATTGATTAAAAAACAGCCAAATCTCTCTATCTAATTGGACAAGTTTTAAAATTTAGCATATAGCATTTAACATAAAAAAGGGGCCTAGAATAGCTCCTTGTGGAACTCCCCATAAGAACCAGTGCTATGTTACCATGAGAGTGTCACAGGGATATTTTCTAGATCCTCTTCTTTGTTTTTCACTAAAGACAAATGGCATCAAATGCTTTACAGCAAATTTACAAATTATTTACCTTTACACATAAAAGCAATAATTTGCCCATATTGCAATAATTTATGATATTTGACAGGCCTGTTGGTCTAGTGGTTAGTGACCCTGACTGCTAAGGTGAGGTCGTGGGAACGATTTCCACCCAGGACAAATATTTGTGTGATGACCACGATCGTTTTTGTGTCTGGGTGTAATTTATCTATAATATGTATGTATTTAGAAATATATAAGTATGTTTATCAGCAATCTGGTAACCATAGTACAGGCTCTGCCTAGTTCGGGATCAGACGGCCGTGTGTGAGATGTGTGAGATTATTATTATTAAAAATAATCCGTGTGGTGACGGATTAAGAATACGGAGTGTCCCCACCCCTGTTCATCCCGTAGATGTCCTAAGACAACAGCACTGCAAAGAGAAGGAAATCTTGAAGCAAACCAAACCAAAAACAAAACAAAACTTTCTTTCTAAGAAATGGCCTATGTCCAGCAATGGACTACTCAAAGCTGTTGATGACATACAAAAGTAAGGTTAATATAAAATGTAGTAAAAAGTCAATTATTTCCCAATTTTTCACTTGACGGTAAGTGACTAACGCCGCCCAAGGAGTGCTTTGCCATCTTTTTAGTCCCCCCCCCCCCCCAGAGTCAGAGGGCGGAGTGTTTGGACTTCGGAAAACTCACTCACTCGGTGAATAGCAAAGAATGAATTGCTCCAAAATGGTTTTCTGTGTTCACTTTTAAAAGTACCAAAAGAAATAAATTTCGGTATGGTATTACGGTATGGTATTATAATTATGGAGTAAGAGAGGTCTTTGATATGTGTGCTAATTTTCAACTGAATCGGAACTGTTATTTTAGTTTTTTTTAACTGTCATTCAGAGTTAAATAAGTTGACACACGTTCGGCCTAATAATGAGCATCATGTTCGTAATGATCGTCAAGCAGAGACAGGCCGAGCATAGTTCTCTCTATGGTTCGCAACTTGCTCACACGCGGCCATCTGATCGTGAACCAGGCAAAATTGATTACTACGGTAACCGTTACTGAACAAGCATCAAATACATTACGCTCAGTCACAGAAAAAATAAGCGTGGTTATCCATCAGATACGTGTTTTAAAATGTAGATATTATTGTTCAAATTATTACTTATTTATTCCAGTAAATAAAATTCATAGTACGTAATAGTCATAGCGTTCTTAACAACCTTTACCACAACTACTTAACGAACTAAAAAACAACATTGTAGATAAACTCACGGAGAATCCGCGGAAATGTATAACGCTTCTCAAAAAAGTTTACCTTACTGAGGAATATAAAATTATGTATAAAAGGAAAAAAAAAAAATGTACTAGATACAAAGCGAGTGATGGCAGTGATACATAAATTACCTGTGGTTTTCTTCACTGTTACTGTATTTACATGAACTGTAACCTTGTGCCATGAATAAACAATAAAAAAAAAACAAATATTATAAACTCTACTATTTGTTCCAGGTATACGTCGCCGGCGATAAAAATAAAATGAAAAAGAAGAGAAAATCATTGCCAATGTGAAATTAATTAATTAAACATACTTCAATCAGCATTTAACCTCAAAATATTGCCTCAAAAGACTGTCCAGACAGAGACTGGGTTCCAATAAAAAAAACCTTCACTTTGTAAACAACTCACTTGTATTCCATAAACAAACTTAAAACCATTTTTAAAATCTGAACACAAATAAGTAATCGTCGTCGTTTAAAAGGTGATCGCTTTTGTTTAAACATTTTTGGGACTGCCGCCTTTTTTGTTTACTTATCATTTAAAACGATATTTAAAAAAAGAGCAACCATAAACAGGATTTCCAAGGGTTTCATTAGTCCTTTATAAAAATATTTTCTTTTTGTTATTGACAGTTTTGTTTTTAATTAGATTAAGAAAATAAAATGCGCGCGTAGTGACAGTGACAGTTAAAAGTTTTCAAAGTCAGTTTTGATAATTTTTCTCGAGTGATTTGTGTAAAATTGTGTCAAAGTGGCTGGGGACGAGCATTTGGACATGTTGGGGGGCCCCGAATGGGGGCAGCGGGAGTCCAGCCCCCCTAGAGACGCTCCCCTGCCGAGCTTCGGCTTCACACAGGAGCAAGTCGCGTGCGTTTGTGAGGTGAGTTGCACTTTTTATTATCGTTAATATTATGACATGGCTTCGTTATAAGTAAAATGAATAAAAAATTAAGTAATATAAGTAATAACTGCTTCTTCAGAATAACTACTAAACAGACCATTTGTTTTTATTTTTGGATACTCAGTAAGACATTTCTTAACTATGTTTAATAAATATGTTAATTAAACTCAAGTTAGGGGCCATAAGCTATAGTAATTCTTTAGCATAATAGTCGTTAACGAACGTATGGTGGCCATTTGAGTTTCTGCGTGTTAATATTTTTCGATAGCAGGACAAATAATAATAATAACCTTACAACGTCTTACACAGGCCGTCGGATCCCAAACTTGGCAAAGCCTATACCATCGTAACCAGACTGCAGATAAATATTAATAAATACACTCATACGTATATTATAAATATTAAAGTGAGTGTGTATGTTTGTTTGTTACGCTTTCACGCCTATATTCTTTCACCAATGGAAAGCTGTATGCATGCAACATACTGTAACATACTGTATGTAAGCAACATACTTTTTTACGTACTTTTTACCGCGATAACCGACATACGCAGGCGGAGCCACGAATAAAAGCTAGTTATAGAAAAATTACGCCCAGACACAGAACAAATGATCATGTTCATCACACAATATGTTTATGAATATTTTTAAATATTCACGTGATATTGTGTTACGTGTATGTATACTACCCTAAATTGTTAAATACCTAAAATCCTTGTTAAGGTTGTCTGGAAGAGATCGCTGTGAGCGATAGGACCGCCTATTGTTACGTTTACTTATTTGTAACTCATCTTTTGTTTTTTTTTTCTATTAAAGTGATAAAGATATAAAAAAATATTTTTCCGAGGTGGGAATCGTACTCACGGCGTTTAGCTCAGCAGTCAGGGTCATTAACCACTAGACCAACAAGCCCATAAAAGAAACCCTAACATGTGGCAGTATATTACCAATTATAAAATCTCTTTATTATATTTCCAACTACTCCAATTTTATTCTGATAAATTTCGTTGCGGGTTCCAAGACAGTTTAATTCTTGCTGGGACTTCCCGACTTCACAACTCGGTGTGTTCATTTGTCACTGCTGTTGATCCCGGTGTACAGGAGTTACAACGGTGAGCGTCTGGGAGGGATTATTCCCCTTAAAACATATTTCAAATATTATTAGATATACATTCATTACACATATTATTAGAATAAGACCAGATTAAGGGAGAAAAGCACGCAGAAAAACAGCACTGCAGAGAGAAGGAAAACTTGAAACGAACCCTATACCAACCTATGTCAAGCAGTGGACTATTAATGGCTGTTGATGATGATGATGATGTTGTGATAGATATACAACAAAAAACAGACTTGCAATCTATCAAACTATTAAGCAAATCTTTAAAACTTAGTCAGCTATATTATACACAATTCACTTACGACAGCTCAACGTTGAGCAGTGTTTATGACTTAAAACAGCTAGGAGCTACTAAACCGATGTTCTCAGAACGCTAACTGAGCACTTTTGCTTACTTCTGACGATTGTACTGCGAATGCTGCTTACAATGTAACAATTTGCTCTAATTGAATCTTATAATTCTACACGTGCGACTCGTTCTGAAGGTTTGGTCATATTTTTCAGTTGTAGACTATATCCCTGGACTAAATGTACCTATGATCTACAATAAAGATTACCACCAACAGCCTATAACAGTCTACTGCTGGACATAGGCCTCTCCTAAGAAAGGAGGTTTTGGCCTACTATACCACGCTGGCGAAACGGGTTGGTATAGGGTTTGTTTCAAGTTTTCCTTCTCTTAGCAGTGCTGTCGTCCTGCGTAGTTTGCTCCCTTAGTCGGCTCTTGAGACACCCACGGGATGAATAGGGGTGGTGACATTCCGTATTCTTAATCCGTCACCACACGGACAATAAATATTACTTACTTACTAGTTTAAGGTGTAGGAAGCAAATGAACGAATGAGTTTCCTAATGGTAGGTCACTGCCACCGCCGGTGCAATCTGCAACTTGAGGATCATAAGTGCGTTATCACTTAATATCTCATATTATGATTGTCTTGGTGGTGACTTTAATAGTCCACTGCTAAACAGAGGCCTCTCCTTAGATAGGAGGTTTTGGCCTACTAAATCGCGCTGGCTGGACGGTTTGGTATAGGGTTTGTGTCCAGTTTTCCTTCTCTTTGCAGTGCTGTTGGCGTGCGGAGTTTGCTCCCTTAGTCGGCTCTTACAACACTCATGGGATGAATAGGGGTGGCCACTCCGTATTCTTAATCCGTCACCTTACGGTATACCGGTAGCTTATGCAACTGTGTGCTGAGATCGGTTCGATTCACGGGTCGGACCCAGTGTTTCTATGGTCTGAAAATATTGTTTTTTTGATTTTGAGTGTTTTCTATGTATAATACCTATGTATGTACAAAAATAAAAAATATATACAGGTAAATTAGCTTGGAGAAATTTTTGCGTTTGTAGTAGTGTATGGTAGCGGACAGCGTAAACTGGTTTATTCTGGTTTTGTGCGTGTTTCCACTTTCCACTATCAAGTGACGATTTTTTGCTTTAGATTGAAATATCTCGGAAACGGTGCGTCCTAGGCCAAAAATAACAAAAAATTTGACCCCCCCCCCCGTAGACCCCCCGGAGTTTTAAAAACCTAGATGAAAGGAAAAAAAAAAGAAAATTAATAAATATCGGTCTCACCTCTTTGAAGTTTCACTTCTATCGTGTGTGAATCGCACACACACCTTTTTTTTTATAAAGTCAAAACCTTTTTCTTTAAAATAAAAACTTGTTTTTATTGAAAACAAAAATCAGAGTGTTGCTAGGGATAAGTATAAAATTAAATAGTAATGTTAGGATATCGAAACATTTTTGTATAGGCCAGAACGATATAGTGGAAACGCGCTCTAAGATCTGAGTAATAAACACACCACTACATATGCAAAAATTTCTCGAGACTAATTTCTCTGTACCTATATATATAAGTATTCTATTAGTCGATCTAATTTAAACGATTCAGTTAGCTTTAGCCGGCTGTCTCGTAAACCAACTATTTTATTAAATGGCTGGTCACATCATGAAGTGGTCAATTCTAAAACCTGCCCACAACATCCATACTTCCATACTTTTGCCCGCGGCTCCACCCGCGTGGATGATTATCACGGTAAAAAGTAGCCTATGTTACTCGCTGATAATGTAGCTTTCCATTAGTGAGTTAGAAAATCCCGTCGAAATCGGTCCAACCGTTCCAGAGATTACCCGGAACAGACAGACAGACAGACAAAAATTGTAAAAAATGTTATTTTGGCATATGTACCGTGTAAACATACATATGCATTTAGTAAAAAGCGGTTATTTTAATATTACAAACAGACACTCCAATTTTATTTATTTGTATAGATTAGTTATTGCCCGCGGCTCAGCCCGTGTGTATGTCGATTATCGCGGTAAAAATTCCTTTATCAGGAATCAAACTACCTGTATCCCAAAGTTTCATCTGAATCGGCTGAGCGGTTATTGTTTCTTCATACAAAATGCCACCCCCCTTTTGACCTCCTTAAAGGATGATTTCTGGGATAAAAACTATCCTATGTCCTTTCACGGCACTCAAACTATCTCTATCCAAAATTTAATCTAAATCGGTTCAGCGGTTTAAGTGTGAAGAGATAACAGACAGACACACTTTTTCGTTTATAATATTAGTATGGACTACCTATTGTCCGCTGCTCAAAAACAAACTATAAAAATAATTCTTTCATGAATACGTATGACAGAAGGTATTTAAACAAAATATTTCGAGTATTTGTGGCACTCCTCCCACAAATAGTATCAAGAAAATGATATAGATTGGACAAGGCAGCCCCTCCGCCACGCCCTATGTAACCGGATATCCGGGTAGCTGATAGAAGCCTTGTTGTTAAGGATACAGGTTAGCTTTGTTTGTTATTCAGAAACTTTGATAGCTTCAATCTGTAAAAACAATGGTTGGACGTATTTTGACATTTATTAAACGGTAACTTTGAACATTAACTATTTATATATTTTAGTTGTTTCAAAGTACTGTTTGAAATCAAGTAGAAACTTACCTACCTTACCTAAACCTAAGGAATACTTTTTAACCTGCAATGCAAAATTGTCCGTGCAGTGACGGATTAAGAATGTCCGTGTAGTGACGGATTAAGAATACGGAATGTCACTACCCCAATTCATCCTGTGGGTATCGTAAGAGCCGACTAACGACGCAAAACAACACAGGACACCAGCACTACAAAAAGAAGTAAAACTTGGCACAAACCCTTTTTTTTTTTTTTTTTTTTACGTGTGGAAATCCCCTCGGACCGTCACCCCTCCGGGGTTTGCGGCGGGGTGGTGTGTCGGACTCGGACCGACTAAAACCACACGGTGTGCCACTCTGCGCCTGTAACAGGAGGGATCCGGGAACAGCTGTTGTTAAGACATCCGGACCCCTCCTAGCGCCAGCCCGCTCCTGGTGCGGGCTCCGTCTCAATGTATTTTCCTCTCTTTAGGCGACGTCCGGCACACGCGGACGCCGCCCCCTCGCGGCTGGCCAAACTAATGCGGGTGGAGGGGAAACCCACCCCGTCCACCCGCGGCCACACTCAGGGCGGCATGAGGCTGTGGTAGGCGGGCCTCCGCCGCCCGGTTCGCCGGCGGCGGATCGGGTCCGAGTGGAGGTCGTCCTCCCGGGCCCTCTCCGCCGCCTCCTTCCGCGAGATTACTACCTCGCAGAAGGTTGCGACCGCGGTAAAACAACTGTCGCTACCGGCCATGGAGCGTACTACGGCCGGTAGCGAGAGATCCACTCCGATGACTGCAGTGAGGGCCCGGCGCTGCGCCGCCCATGCGGGGCAGACCGCCAGCGTGTGCTGGGCCGAGTCCTCACTGCAGTCGCAGTGGTGGCAGGCGGGACTCAGTTCCCTCCTAGCGACCGTGTGCAGGTACTTTCCGAAGCAACCGTGC